CTTCTGAGATTTTGAAGAAAATTAAAGCTGAGATAGATTCCGCTGTGCTTTTAACAGCCGTACTGTAGTGTCGCCTCTCAACAAACCTTTCCTTGGTCCATGAAATATCAGCTTTAACATCAGACATTACTGTCTCCAAAGGGGTTTGTGAGTTATAACATTTATTCTGTATAACAATGGCCTAAGTCTGTTTGTAAAAAAGTTCCCTAATTAGTGTTTTTTGTTCATGTGTGATGTACAAACTTTGGTTACCACTGATTGGAAACTAGAGGAGTGAATCTAATCCACTGTGTTTTGGCCTTTGAAAAACGGTGCACTAATTGGCTTGACTTGACAATAACTGTTCAAAATTAAAAGTTGTAATAATTAGCCACGACCAGTAATGTACGTTCAAATTTAAAGTGGCGAACTCAGATTTTAGTTCTGGTAGATTCTGTCAAGATTTCTGGAGGCAGCAAAGGAAATGATTGTTGTTTTAATCAGGATAAAGGGGCAATAGTTTGCCTTTTTACAACCCTCTGTGTGCTGCTGTGATCTATTCTGCACATAACATAAGTCTGCAAACACCAGGTTGATTACCTTGCTGACAAGTTGGAGGTGTTCAGCCCGTCGCCTGCAGCTTGTCATCGAACAGATCTTTATGTAACACGACTCCCTGCAGTATTTCAAACTGATCCGGTGTTGAAAACTGACGAAAATGACTGCTGTCTTGTTTTGTTGATGCATTTTTGATGAACGTTGACAATAAATGCGAAGCTTACTGACAAACACGTCACATTTCCTGTGACCGCTTTGGCATTTCTCGCCAGTAAATGCCGCAGATGTTTGATTTACATGAGCAGTAACTTAGTACAGCATTTTCCCTGAATGTCACCACAGACACCCATACTGCAAATATATAAATATTGCAATACTTCAAGCAGTGGGCCGTGGGCTCAAACGCTAGTGTGTTAACTCATCCGGCAAAAGACATTTATTTAAGTAAAGATTTTTCAAGATTGACACTTTCAGCTGAGATATGCTTTTCTATTTATTCTACAAATTTAGCGTAAGGACAGTCAGCTGTCTTTATTTTTACTGTCTCCACCTATTTATTTACTTTCTGTTCACTGTAAAGAAACCAAATAAACACTGAAATCGATAAGTATATTTATGTGTTCAAACAATAAAATAACACAAAACTTGTCCTTACTCATTCTGTAGAATGTGAGACTCTTTTGTGTGACTAATTTTAAACTGGTGCTCAGATACAAATTTAATAAATCAAATATTGTTTTCCACAGGCTAATTGTTGCCTTGTGGGAGGAAGTTTAAAATTACACCAACTCACCAACTAACTTATCTGTTGAAAGCCGCTCTGCCATAGTCACGCTATATCAATTTAAAGCTTATTTCATTATCCTCCGACTCTCCCTGAACTTGCTCTTTAGCTTTCTCAGCTCACCTCTTTTCACTGCTTTCGTTTGCACTGCTGTCTCTCGACACATTCTCAAGACATTCCTCCGACTCGACGTCGTCAGCGTTTTCATTTTCCTCACCTGCTTTTCTCTGCAGCGATTTTACCGAAATTCAGTGTAATTTGATTCGTCCTCTATTTCTGTCCGGTAATGGGTACATGCTGGTGTCATTTTCTAATCCAGGCTTCCTTTCGGTTTTGTTGCTGCTGTACGGCTGCAGGGCTGACCTTTGGCTGGACTGTTTTTGTCTCTCCTTTCTAATGGCCAGACAGTTCTGTTTCTCTGAAAGCCTGTTCAGCATGTTTACACAGTACCTCAGAGGTTAGAGCTCTGTGACCTGTGTGTGTGCTGCGTCTTACTGGCTGAAGTTTTACCTTTGGGTGAAAATGGATGCCCAGGAATTCAAACATGGTGAGAGATTTTTATATTCTTCCCTTGTTTTGACATCGGTGTATGAGCAACACTGCTGACGCTATACTGTGGACTTTCAAAAAATCCACCGGCTCAAGTTGTGTGGTTGCTAAAGTGAGGGGATACGGCACCTATAAGTAACGACAAATTGCAGAAATGCCAAAGATGTGTTAAGAGACAAGTGAAGAGGCCATGCTGCTGGCTCAGTGAGGGTTTAGTTTGTTGTGCAGCATAATGTGATGTTAATATAACTGTGTTACCATAAGCACTAAACGCACAGAGGCTGATGATACTTTCACAGATGCTTGGACATAAACCAAACTGCTGAGGAAATTTAAAAATATGAGTTTTTGTGGCTTTAAGAAGTCACAGGAACTTGAATATTCAAACGTGGCACTTCATTCAACAGAGGCGGTGACATTTAACTTAAAAAGACAAATGTCAACCTCATGCTGGCACGAGATGAAAAGTCAGGTGATTACCAAAGTCATTAGGATTCATTCTTGCATTGTTTGTTGAGACATTTTTTCTGGTTGAGCCCTATGGGTAGCGTGTCTAAAAATCTGTTATTTGACCGATGAGATTATCAAATTCTTAACTTTGTAATATTTTTATTAGCCACATCTGTCTTTGTTATCATTCTGTTAAGTTAGCTGGTCAATTGAAACTTATTGAAAAGTTTCTATGTGCTAAATTCTTGCAATAGGACTTAAAAACACAAATAAGAATCTGTCTACATTATAATTGAGTGTGCTGCACAAAAACACTGTAATTGGAGCCTGGCTTTTGGATGTCCACAATTAGCTGGATTAGTTGAGTGTGAATATGTCACTGCTTGTTTCCCAGCGCTGCCGGACGCTCCAAAGGTCCCGGTCAAATCTGAACTCAGTACATGATGTAAGCATAAGACTGCCAGGCAATCACCATCCCCCAGGCGGAGATCCATGTTATGCTTGCATGGTGTAAATAGGTTTGACAGAGGTGATAGTCTATTCACTGCGAGGTCACAGCCAGCTGCCATGTTCTCAGGAGAAAGTGTTGCTGTGACGCTGCCTCTCACCAACACTGTGACAGTCTCTCCTATCAGCTACATAACAGACCTTTTCAGTGTGACAAAGCATACTTTGCATGCTGCGATGTAGAAGGCAGCAGAACAGCACTTTCCAGACATTAGAGCATTAGAGGGTCAGCAGGGTGGATTAGAGGGTGGGAAGACTTTCTCTCCTCTCTCAAACTTTTAACCTCGCTGTTACAGGAATATATTTTCCACGTCGAGATAAACAGTGTCCTTGTGCTTGTCCTCTTTTTCCTTCTTTTTTCGTGTGTCGTCCTGCCTCTCCTCCTCCTCCTCCTCCTCCTCCTCCTCCTTCCAGTTCATTGCACCTTGTCATGTGTTTTCTAAGCTTTAGCAGGAGCAGTAATATTATATGTCACTCCTCTTGTGTGGTTGTTATCGCTGTCAACATGCCATAATGTGCCAAGAACAAGGACACTGGCACTGAAATTGGTCCTTTTGATTTATCCCCAACATATGGGCTTGTTTTGATTTGTTAAAATAGAAACATCCAGATGCTTTTGCAATATGTGGGTAATGATTTTGTACGTAAATTCAGATTTAAATATATATGTGTCTTGATTTAAAGAGGTTTTCTGGTGTTTTTTTTCTCCTTCTTAATGGAGCGCCTAGTTATGCAGCATGCCACATAACCACAAAACTTTCTTAATGGCCACAGACCTTTGTTAAATGTCATACCACTACTCTCTCCCCTCGTTTCCTCTTCTCAATCAACTGTCAAATAAGAGCTGAAACATCCTGCTAAATTCCATCATGCAAGAGTTTGTTGTTCTAGAAAGCTCGCTCACACATCCATCCCACTTGTGAAGATGCGTAGTTCTGCTTTCTTTTTGGATTTGTTCCTGTCACGGTGTCACCAGGCAGTTTTTGAACCTGGGTCTTACCCCTGGTGTATTTCTGTCTTTCTGTGTATGTGTGTGTGGGCTTCTGCTCAGCGTGTGTGTGAGTGATATAGAGCTGACACTGCAACACTGTTCTCGTATGTTCTGTTTAACCTTGAGTAACCTCTCTTTAGTGACATCATAGGCAAAAGCAGCTGCTGCGGCAAAGGCTCACGGTACGGACACGCTGTCTGTATTAAAAGGCCTCATGCAGCTTACATTCGATCAGATTCTTGGGATTTCTGTCATCAGATTTAGTACGTCACAGTCTTATAGTTCAACATCTGCAAATCAGAGGAATGGCAGCCCAATTCATACTAATTGCATGATTGGAACAAGTCACTGGTAAATGGTTTGTCTTTTTTTATCATTTAATGAGAAATATGCTTCCAAAATGAGAATTATATAGTAGAACATTGGTTTCTGACATCTTTATCAAGTAACACTACAATGGTCTGTTTTTTTAGTGTTTGTAATAAGTTAGTTGGGTAATAGATAGAGATGCACGATATTAACATTTCTGGCCGAAACCGATATCCGATATTGAGATTTTTGATATCGCCGATAACCGATATTACCGATATTACCGATGTCGATATTCAATTTTTGTTCATATCAAAAAAAATGTGAAAACTATTCAAAAGAAGCCCATTCCAAATTAGACCACATAGTCTTCTTTATTACATAACAAAAGTTAAACATATTTTTACATATTTAACATTCAAGTCCAGGAGCATTTAAGTAAAAACGTCTGTGAAATAGCAGCAATATCAAATGTAGAGACGAAGGCGCTGATGTTAGACAGTCATCGGTGTTTTACATCGGCTAAATTTGTTCATCGGATCGATACCAATACATGGGAAAAAACACGAATATTGGCCGATACCGATGTGGTCACCGATATATCGTGCATCTCTAGTAATAGAGCAGAGATCACTGGAGGAATTACATAATTGTTGCAAATTAAGTTCAAGCATCTCTAATGGAAAGAATTGTTTTTTTTACAATGGAGGGTGTTCTCTTATTTTGTATATCAGCTATATGCAGGTAAATGTGTCTTTTTTTAATGCATATCAGCTATATGCAGGTAAATGTGTCTTTTTTTAATGCATATCAGTGCAGGGTTTCCCTCTGTTTATCTCCACTCTTACATGACCTCTGACCTCTCTCCTGCAGATGACTCAGGGGACGAGGAGCCCACATCGCAGTCGGACCGTAGCGAGATCCAGGGCACCCTGAAGATACTTGTCAGCAAGCTCGATGACCTCAGCACGTGCAATGACCTGATCGCCAAGCATGGGGCGGCCCTGCAGCGTTCCCTGAGTGAACTCGAAGGCCTGAAAGTCCCCGTGGAGGGAGGAGAGAAGATCAAGGCAGTCAACGAGCGAGCCACTCTCTTCCGCATCACCTCCAATGCTATGATCAATGTAAGTAGCCGGGACAGAGCAGCCAAACAAGATGCAGCAGCAGTGGGCAGCGACTGATTTGTCTCCCGCATGCTTTGGCATGATCAATGTGACAAGAATGCCAGTGGATGTGAGTGATGAGAGATGAGATCACTTCACAGTGTAGCATGTTAAACGAGAGCCACTTGGCCGCAGGCGGGGAGACCGCAGGTTTAGACAGGCAGTTTTACACCTCACTAAATCCTGTTAAACCTACTTAAACGTAACAATCTCTGATGTTTAAAAATGGACAAATGGACAAAATTAAGCTGCGAGATGGAAATGGTAATGGCTTCATTAAAGGAATCTATTTATTGTTTAAAATATCATATCTCTGCTGTTTTTCGGATAGGCCACAATAATACACATGAACAAATTCTCCTCAAAGGTGTACAACAAACTTTTATCTCTACCCTTAAATTATTGCTTGGAATAAGGAAAGCTGGGGAATAAGGAGACTCTTATAGAGGATAAAATAGTTTAAGGTTTACCAGATGTTTTCCCTATCAGCCTGATTGAACAAAACACAACAACAAACATGACCTGATTTTTAATTATCATCAAATCTAGGATCTGATTACTACTCCTGGACTATGCAGTGCTCTGCTCTAACTGGCCCTGTTCCACTTTCCTCATGGATAAATAGCATGGGCTTTACAGTACGTTAGTAGTGGATGAGAGTACAGTGAGGGTTGAGGTCCTGATACGAGATATGATAGTGGGTGGGAGGTGACAGGAATAGCCCCTGCTCCCCCCCTCCTCTCAAACCCTGGACCCTCCCTGCTTGGTGAGGAATGTCAGAGCCTTCTGGACTACAGTTAGACAGACAGACCTGCTCTGACTAAAGCCAGACAATCACACAAGGTTTGTCTTTCTTCCTGCTTGTCTCAGTGGCTTTTATCTTAGGGATTGTTAATTTTGGCTTTAATGCATGTCTGACATACTTTGCAGCTCTTTTTGTTGTATGCGTGGTTGTTAGGGGTAACGGTAACTAAGTCAGACTTAGTTGTGTTTAGGCTGAAATGATTTTGGCACAAATATGTGTTAATTTAGGTAGTAAGAGTCTATTAATTCCAATATAAGCAGGTGTTAGTACAGGTTGTTAAGAGATTTGAACCATAGTTTCATGATAAGAAAAAGCTTTAAGTCGAGGTCACGCTTAAATTATGTGAAAGGCCATTGCTCAAAATGATGAAGCCCTTGTCATCTTTTTTTTTATTAATTGGTGGAGGAAAATTAAACTTACTGGACAAGCAATAAAATAGACCCTTATGGACTGCCTAACTCATTAAAATGCCATTTGGTTTGCCAAGAAGGTGCTTCTAATGAGAAAGAAATGCTGCTGCAAACTCCCCGGAGTACTTTTTTAGTCTTGTAAATGGCTTTCTCGAAGCAGTTAGCGGTGCAAGATATGTCGTTTTTGGTTTGTGCTCAGCTCCTGTGAAGAATTGTTCTTTGCTTTTAAATATAACTGTACGTGTTGCATTACCAAAGAAACTGGGAGTATACATGTATAGAGGGAACAGGGCAGAGAGGAGCAGGAGGCCATAATGAAAAGACCTCACTGCATGTTCCCGGTGATTTGAGCCGGGTCTGGGGAGCGGGTTGCACTCCAGTTCATTCACCGGTGACCTCACTTCTCAAGTGTGCCACTGACTCCAAAGGCACATTTGCCTGTTTGTGAACGCATGTATGTACACACCTACCACTTTTGGTTAGTATGGTTTAATCACATGAAACTTTACTCAAGTTCACTTTATTTTTTGCTACGTCGTTCATTCTGCGGAGGTCACCGGCACCTTAAATCTGACACTGATGACTGTTCATGCCAACTCCTACTGACACATCCACTCCTGCAAACCCATTCACTTGTTTAGCCTTTATCAACCCCGTCTTCCTAGTTACGGAAGTCACATGCGGTCTGCGTGTGGACCCGAGAGTCAGCATTTAAAAAGTGGAACTGGCAAACTTTTTTTAAGTGGGTGCGTGAGTTTCATATCATGGTTGTGTGTGAGGAAGCGGACCACCACGTCACATGCACTTGACATTTAAATTGACGCTTAGGCATTCATGTATAGAGAGTTCATCCAAGACTGTTTAAGGTAAGAGACGAATTGGAATAGAGTCTTATGAGTTTTTAGTTGTAAAATGTTGTAATTACTGCCACACAAAATGTGGAACAAATTTGTAGTTTCTGATATGATATTTGTTGTATTCTAATGATACTGCACCGTTATAATACTCGTATTTCTAAATTGTTATTACTCCTAGAATAACATCTCTTCACAGATCAATTACCAACTTTAGAATAACGTCCCAATAACATATATAAACTATTAACTGATACTTAACAAGTCATTAGTAAGTAATTCACTAATGGCTTGTTCATGATCTATGACTGGTTTATAAGGTATGGCTGTAAATCATTAATATGCAGTTAACAAGTTATTTATAACTCATTAACTAACAGTTTGTAAATGGTTTATTAACTATCTATAAGGCATCGTTATAAATCATCAACAAATTATTAACAAACACTTAACAAGTGGTTAATAACTCACTAATTAACAGTTTGCAAATGATCTATTAACTAGTTATAACGGATAGTTATTACAAAGCGTTACCAACTTGGTTGTTTTAAACTTATTACTGATGGTGCGGTAACTTCACTTTTGGAATTTAATGACATGTGGTATTACTGTAGAGAGGCTTAACTCTTTTTTTTTCAACAACATTAAGATATTAAACCATGTCTGTGTCTTCTGTGCTTTTCCAGTTAACCTAAATGCTTAAAAATAATCTTAAGTGCATTTATGATGATTGCATGACTGCATTGTGTTTAGAAGATACGTAGAAATTGCCCCTCATTTAGGAACCTGAAATAATGGATTAAGTTATCAAACATGCTGCATGAAAGCTTGCTGTTAATAATAATGATAATAATGAGGATTTCACATCACAGCAAGTTATTGTAAAATAGTTATGTTCTTTACTATGTTACACTCACTAAAGGTAAAAATATAAAAGTTAGCAGTTGTGGTTAAATATTCAAACAGCGTATTTTATTAGAACCATGAACTTAACTTAATGACTATAGAGCTGAAACAATTAATCAATAGTTAATCAATAGTCACTTAATAACTTGTAATTTTTGTAGCATAAATGGAAAAATATTTCTCTTATTCCATTGCATTACTGTGGATTACCTGCTTTCTTGGTCTTAAGTCATATTAAACCGAATGTCTTTGAGTCTGTCACTGTTAGTTCGAGAAAATTTAGCATTTTTAAAAAATCTTTTAACATCTTGTAGTCCTAATATGTATTGGAGAAATTAAGAAACAACACTTGTTAGTTGTAGCTCTAAATTAACTGACTCTTTATGCATATTTATTATAATATTATCACGTGTCTTGTGAAATAAAGCAAGAACATATCAGCCTTTAAATTGTATACAGTGGCAGCTAACAGTGTAACATTGTGTGTTTCTGTGTGCATGTGAGGCAGGGATACAGATACAGGGCTGCATTTATTTTTATTTTTTTCGACAGATCAAGGAAAGAATCAAGTGTTACTGTCTACTTGTTTCTCTTTCCGCTGCCTAAAGGTGCTACTTTACATCCTGACTGCTCCCTCACCAGACGGAGAACAGAGATTATTTGAGCTGTGTGACACTTTTGTCCCTCCAGCTCTCAGCCTTAAGCCACATATTTATCTAAGTGATTCCAGCAAAGTCTCCACAGCCCCTCTGGCCGTGGAACCAAAGAAACATTTGCTGCAAATGACCATAGACCGTATGTACGTAATCATGTGCTGATACAGTTTGGTGGGAAGCAACTTTGACAAGACTCCACAAAATGCTAAAAACCTCTGGAGGCCTTCCATGTGACAGCTCGGTGACAATCACATGACATTTTTATCATGTATGTTGAGCAGCTGAGAGGTGTTATTTAGGTTCATCGACCTTTGAGCCCACTATGAAGCAAAGCTGTCAGGCGTACGATGCAGTGCCAACAAGTGCTGACATGTAATGTATGTGTGATCTGACGTAACCTCTTTGTCTCGGCAGTCAAAGCAGAGAAGCAACAACGATGCCCCCTCTTGACTCAAATATAGCCTGCCACACAGTCAGAGGTTTAAAACTGTAGTTCATCAGTCACGGATGTTTTCTATGTTTACAGTTTGCTCAGAGGAGCGTTTGACACAGCGGGGAGATCCAGTAAATGCTCGGCAGACAGCTAATTAACATATTGATGACTGCTCGAAACAGTGATGATAAACGACCTTGATTACAGTGATTGATGCAAATGTCTTTGCACCCTTTTCCATCCCAATGCACTCTCATATTGTTGCCAGCTGCCAGGAAAAATTATATTATCAATTTATTTCATTTTCATGTTTTTAAAGATCTTTTATTTAAGTCCTCATGACGCAACTGCAGTTAGGAGCCCTGACTGTCCTCACTTCCAAGCTTACTGGAGTTATTTATAATGCAAGAATTTAAGCTGTCAGTGGAAGTTAATTTATACCCTGTTGAGAATCTTAAAGGATGCTTTTTTTTTCTTTTTTTTTTAAGGGTGTATATTTTGGAAAGTTTCACTGCTGTCTGTGTGATTATGTGCTTGTGTGCATGTGTTCCCCAAGGCGTGTCGAGACTTCTTGGACCTAGCTGAGACTCACAGTCGGAGATGGCAGCGGGCACTGCAGTATGAGCGAGAGCAGCGTACCCACCTAGAGGAGACCATTGAGCAGCTAGCCAAGCAGCATAACAGCCTGGAGCGAGCGTGGAGAGAAGCACCCACGCTTGTTTCCAGCACACCCAGTGCCCCGACCACCAACAAGGGTGAGACTGACTGTCTGTGTGTTACTTACTCTTGTTGGCCTCAGTGTGGACCTCATTTCACTGGTGGAAAGTCATGTGTAGCCTCAGGCTTAATATTATAGACTCTCCTCACATGTCAGAAGGTTTGGATTGGATGATAGTTAAGTTACAGATGCTAAATACCTTAACCAAGAACTGTATGCCTTGCAGTCTCCTCTGTCAGTCAATATATACAGTTTTCATATAGTTGTTTGTTTGTCTATAACCAAAATATCAATCCATGAAACTTCATGATTTTAGTGACCTCATGATGATTCCTCTAAAGCCATGTTTCAAATCTCCTGAGTGTTTGCACATGCATTTGCACCTTCAACAAGGAGAAACCCATTGATATTAATGACCACATGCCTTTACTGTCAGTGTAAGACTTTCCTTTAAGCAAATGACCTAAAACATTCCACACCAAATCAGCGTAACTTTCATATATTACAGTTTAAACTCACAGAGAGAAAGATACGGTTGATAGACTTTAATATTAAAACTTTGGTTTTAAAGCTGAAGATTAGGGCGGCATCCACAAACACTAACATCCCAGCTGTGGGCCCATGTTGCATCTCTTTCCCCTTCATTTAGTGTCATCCCGCTCTGGTCCCTTTCGCAAAAAGATTGGGCTACAATGCCGTGAATAAGACTCCCTCATTATGTCGCGTTTGCTCATTTACCTTGAACCAAACAAGCTGGCACAATGCCGCCCCAGTGTGTGCTTTCAGATAGCGTGACAGCGTTCTGAAGTCAAGAGGTGTGACGTGATGTTTAGTGTGGTGCATCCCGTCTTTTTCCACCATCTTTCCTGCATCCAGCTTAAAGGCACAACAACAATAAACCCCCCATTCCATCCCCAAAGCTTACACACAGAACAGCGATGCAACCAGGCTGTATGAAAAGGGTTTTTGCTGTCTGTAATAGGAGCTTAAAACATGGTTTGAGTTTCTTACCCTTCTGTCAACCAGTGTTAATCCCCTTAAAGTTCATTAAAGGCAATATAAGTTGATTTAGTTGTCGATACATAAGTATGCTTTCAGAAGAGACATCGAAAAACAGCCTGCACTGTTGTTCAAGTGAGAGGATTTGCTGGTATGTAGCCAATGTATGGACAAAATTTGGCAGAGAGATTGGAATGTTTTCTTTTAAATAAGTTAAGCTAAAAATAAACATTTTGAGTGTTCATGGGAGCAGAATAGTGAAGATAATCTTGTCTCCATGTAGTATTTATTTGGGAAGCAGTTCACCCATAGCTTGCAGCAAATGCAAATCTGCGTTTAAAATACATTCGTACTACGGACCGTTAGTAAGTAGCAATCATTCTGTCTCCTCCTTTAATAGAATCACTTTTCATTAGAAGCACTATGATTACATGATTATAAGGATTTGTGCCTCTCTGTAGAAAGCGAGTTTATAGACATAATGGACCACTGATCGCACTGAGTGTTGAATTTTTGGATGCAAAATATGAGAAGCACACCCCGAGGAACTTGCATCATTCGGGCTAGTTAACCAGCAGGAACATTGCCAATTTAACTAAGCTGATTATTCCTTGATTAATCGCCATGGGTTTGTGATTACACGCTCCTCCTCCTGAACTTTGTAGAATACGAACTCACCGCCATGAGGTTGTTTTGCGTAATGTCTGTATGGACTCACAAATGTATATGTCCCAACTGAAGGGAGTGAGAGGTCGCGCAAAGAAGAAGCAAGTGATGAAGATGAAGATACTGAATACTTTGATGCCATGGAGGACTCCCCTGCGTTCATCACAGTGACTGCCAGTGAGAACACGCAGCACAGGTCAGTGTCACACAGGGATCCATGTGGTCCATACTCCTTAAAACATGTTGTTATGTGTTCACTGAAACATGCAGAAACGAGGAAAAGGTTAACAAGAAGAACGGCATAAACCAATTGCCGCGCATGCTCCTATTTGTAAGAATTGTGAGTTTGACATTGGCTGACAGCTGAACAAGGCTGCGTTGATGGCTCGTGGTGTGACAGTTTAACATTGCATGTCCCTTACTCCTGAACGCTGTCAGATTTGTTCACTCTGTGTTATGCAAGTAAAAATACCACAAGACCTGTCGACTCTCCTGCAGACAAGTAAACCAGTTTCTGCTTTTGTCTCTTGCAATACATCCCTCAACTCTAGTAGCTCCATTAAGACTGATGGAAACTGTTACACAGCGTTCATCTGCAATACCCAGCAATCTCTTTCCTCGCCTACGAGTGCTGTGTTTGTATTGCATGTGTGTGTGTGTGTGAGGGGGAAAACAAGACAGAGAGGGGCATTTAGTTTATGATTGCGTCCAGCGCTCATTGTAAAAACTGTTTTCATTCTGTTCCAGGCGATCTCAGAGTAATTTAAGTGGAGCGAGCGGAGGCCAGCCCAGCGACTGGAACCAGGACAACCATGTAAGTGGCTGTTTTCCTAACAGGTCTGACTAATAGGACCGACGTTTGTGAGCACTGCTGACTTTTGTAATATCAATATAGAAGTGTCTGTGCCGCTGCGAAGTTCTCACCTCATTGATTTATTTATACGTCTTCACTTGCTGTTTTCACAAGCCTCCACTCCTGTCCTGCATCCACCCCTTGCTAACAGACAGACACACACAGGCTTTGTCTGTGTTTCCTGCGGTCTCGTTGTCACCCCTGTGGTGCCGAAGACATACAATTGCATCACTCCTCTAAATCTTAATTACCAGTCCGACATCTGTTCTTTTTTCCCCTCAACACTCTCGTGCTGCTTCTTCTCTTTCACACATCTGTGTCTTCTCTCCCCTCCGCTTGTCTTTCTCTCGGTCTGTCACTGTGTCTGGTGATATTCTGCCAAGCTGTCCATGAAGTTGGAAATACTTTCTCAAACTTGTATACCCATCCGTTCTCCCCCTCCTCTAATTCCAGATGTCTCCAAGCTGTAATGATGTGTCAGGAAAGGAGCTGCAGCCCCGCAGACAGAGGCGAACTCATATCCCAGACAAGCCCAACTACTCCCTCAATTTGTGGAGCATCATGAAGAACTGCATCGGCAAGGAGCTCTCTAAAATCCCCATGCCTGTAAGTATACGAGGTGTGGTCCTTCTTCATGCTGACAGGTTCACATAACTCTGTGTGAGTTACACTGTGCCTATAAAAAGTTTTATTGCTGTCAACACTGAGTCATGGTCAATTCTGTTTGGCTTTTTGGAGAAGAATTTACCTCCCAAAAAAGGCTCTTTCGTGTTAAAGTGAAAGCAGATTTTTTACAAATTAGTGTCAGTTAATTATAAATCTAAAACTGATTGCATAAGTATTCACCCTATTTAAAGTGATTTACCTAATTTAACGGGGCTGCAAGGTGGAGCGGTGGGTAGCATCGTTGCCTCGCAGCAAGAAAGTTGGCGGTTCGCGTCCCGGTGAGGACACCCGGGATCTTTCTGCGTGGAGTTTGCATGTTCTCCCCGTGCAGTGTGGGTTCTCTCTGGGTTCTCCAGCTTCCTCCCACATAGTCCAAAAACATGTTGAGGTTAATTGGTGATTCTAAATTGTCCGTAGGTGTGAATGTGAGTGTGCTTGGTTGTCTGTCTCTAAGTGTAGCCCTGTGATAGACTGGTGACCTGTCCAGGGTGTCGCCTGCCTTCACCCTCAGTCAGCTGGGATAGACTCCAGCCCTCCGTGACCCTAGTGAGGATTAAGCGGTGTATCGATAATGGATGGATGGAGCTTAATTTAACACAAATGCAGCCAGTTGGTGCCAGAAATGAACAAAGACAACAAGGACAATGTTCTGGAGTATCCAAGTCAGAGCCCGGACCTCAATCTAATTGAGAATTTGTTTTATATTTTTAAATAATTGACATTACTTTGTAAAAATCGTTGTTTACTTTGACATAAAAGAGTCTATTTTGTAAATTCTTGTCAAAAACAAGCCAAAGTATGTTGATCAGGATTCAATGTTGAAAAGCAATAAATAGGTACAACTTCCAAGAGGAGTGAATACTTTTTATACTATATCTTTACTATATCTTAAGAGTTTCTAATGCTTTCTCTTTCCTTCAGGTAAACTTCAATGAGCCTCTGTCGATGCTGCAGCGTCTCACTGAGGACCTGGAGTATCATGAGCTCTTAGACAAGGCGGCACGCTGTGACTCCTCCCTGGAGCAGATGTGCCTGGTCGCTGCCTTCTCCGTCTCCTCCTACTCCACCACGGTCCACCGGACAGCCAAGCCCTTCAACCCCCTCCTGGGCGAGACCTACGAGCTCGATCGCCGGGAGGAGTTTGGCTATCGCTCGCTGTGTGAGCAGGTAACGGCGTAGCCACAGGGAGATTCTGCTTACACACTCCCTGATGTGCTCGCACACATTAGACACACAAACCGAGGTACACAAAGTCAGACTGTGTCCTTCAAACAAGCTGATATGTGTTTTCTGATTATATGAACACACTTGCCGTATCATGCTTATCCTTTGTGTCAATACCTCCTCTCAGGTGAGCCATCACCCCCCAGCAGCTGCGCATCATGTGATTTCCCAAAAAGGCTGGACCTTGTGGCAGGAAATCACTATCGCCAGCAAGTTCCGTGGAAAATACCTCTCCATAATGCCTCTGGGTAAGATGCTTTAAATTCGCCTGGGAAGCTAACAAACTATATGTGTAAATAACGGCTCCGCTGTGCAAATTGAACAAAGCAGCAGAAGAAAGTCGAGGAAGACTCCACACCCCGCTTGAGAGTATTATACAACTGATTCTGCCTGCCACACAATCTGAAGCCAGAGGAAAGGGTGTGAAAATGAATCAGGAGGGTTTTATGACCCCTTTGACACATACATAAATATGGGTATAAAGGGAGCTCTATATTGCGCTGGGAGAGCGAAGAGCAGCGGTCTGTTGGCTCAGATAAATGAGAGATTTTCTAGGTGCAGGTCCAGCCAAGGGAGGCAGTGGTATTTATCTGACTCCTCTCACTCTCTGTTATATGCCCCTATCACGTTCCATGTAATAGAAAAAACTCTTAAGTGTGAAGCGTTTATAGGGAAATATATGTTGTAAATCTTCTGGGGTAGGTCACATTGGACGTAGGTGACAATGTGCTGCCTGTGCACAGAGCATGAATGTGTTAGATTATATGTTTTTCAGCTGCTGCCGGTAGAATTGATCACAAATTTAGAATTGCATTATCAAACCCATAATCTAGCGCATCGCTTCAAGGTCTGCAACCGCATAGTGCAGCTGTGATTTTCACTGACAGTCTTTTGTCCCTGTCTGTCCCCAGGTGCCATTCACCTGCAGTTCCACGCCAGTGGGAACCACTATGTGTGGAGAAAGGTCACCTCCACAGTGCACAACATCATTGTGGGCAAGCTGTGGATTGACCAGGTCGGTTTATGAGTACTTCTCATTGGCAATCACTCTTTCACAGCTCCAAACCCAGGAATTTGTCTTTATACCCCCGACCTTCCATCCTCTCCTCCGATGATGCAGAAGACTGTTGTACAGACCAGCAGAGTAGAGTGTTGGGAAGAAGGGAATCAGAGCCAAGCCTTACAGCACATGAATAAGGAGCTTCACGATCCTTGGGGATTTATCTTTAGCTTTGATCTCTAATAACACCCTGAAATAACAGCCTCGTCTTTGTGTGCGATGGCCCAGTTATATAGGGGAGGAGCAGACTTCACATGTGTCTGTCTGAGAATTGTGTCTGCATGTTCTTTGGAAGTGTATTTCTGGCTTTTTTCACACAACCTTTTTTTCTTTTTTCTCTCTCCTTTCTCACTCATGAGTCTGTCGAATCAATCTGTCAATGAGTGTTGGTGTTTGCATGTAATCTTGAAAGAAGACCTGAGATTGTATCAGTTAGAATATCGGCTTTGAATTATTAAAACAAAAATATAATAAGTTGTTAATATTGATTAGTAGTCACAAATACCCTGCACAATGTGCGTCAGGTTACGGTTGAACAAAATTTTCTACCTATCGTAAAGATTGTGATCTTTTTCTGTAATTTAAATTTTTGAGATACGTCTAAATAAGCGATTATGATTATATTTGCTGCTGTTGTGTAAATTTAAGATACTAGCCTAATGAAACAATTAACACTGCCTCTGCGTCCTACTTCTAACTTTAGTTTATCCACTGAGAAAAAAAAAAATCTCACCAATACTTATTGATTTTTACTGTCTATTGTTTTACCTTCTCCCTTCACTACTTTCACCGTCTCTGTACATTGGTCTGCCACTCTGCTACCCTCCAGTGCAGAACAAGGTCAGCCAAACAACTCCGTACTAAACTACAGAAACTGTTGTCCTACTGTTTCCTCTACTTTTGGCCAATTTACCAGCTGGCATCAATGTCAATAGTACAGCAACTGAAAAGAGACAAGATGATCTACGTGGGTACTGACTGTGAATATATGATTAATAAACATCATGATCTGAAACTTAAAAAAGAACAAATTCACATGGTGACCATCCTTAGGATTTTTATTTTATGGTCGTCAGATGCTACAAAAACAGGTCAAACAATAGACTTGAGAGGTACGGCCCAGTGCAAGGTGCAAAGTCGTCAAAAAATCTTCATGCTTCCTTTAAAGCACTTGAAAACACATTTTTAATCTATGACGATGTCCATCCATCCATTATCTATACACCACTTAATCCTCACTAGGGTCGTAGAGGGTCTGGAGTCTATCCCAGCTGACTTAGGGTGAAGGCAGGGGACACCCTGGACAGGTCACCAGTCTATCACAGGGCTACACTTAGAGACAGACAACCAAGCACACTCACATTCACACCTACGGACAATTTAGAATCACCAATTAACCTCAACATGTTTTTGGATCATGTGGGAGGAAGCTGGAGAACCCAGAGAGAACCCACACTGCATGGCAAACATACAAACTCCACGCAGAAAGATCCTGGGTGTCCTCACTGGGATGTGAACCGGTGGCCTTCTTGCAATGGTGCTAACTACAGCGCCACCTTGCAGCCCTCTATGACTATGTGTTAATGTATATTCCACTTGCTATACCTGCCTGTACTGTAGCAAAAACCTGATTAATAAAAAAGATTTGGGAACATTTAAGATAGAACAAGCCCAAAGAAAGTGGGATTTAGTGCATACACACTGCTGAGCTTCAGGTCAAATCATGGCATCTAACTGTTAATTAACCTGCTGTAACTATTTAGCGTTCAGTTTTGCTGGCCTGTTTAGCTCAGGAAATGGTAAAGCTTACTAGCTATATAGTACAACATGCTATCATTTTCTCTTCTCTCTCTCTCTTTCTGTTTGTGTAGTCGGGGGATATTGAGATTGTGAATCACAGGACCAAGGAGACCTGCCAACTCAAATTCTCTCCCTACAGTTATTTCTCCAGGGATGTTCCACGGAAGGTAATTTCTTCCTTTTACACACTTTGTTGATACCCAACCTTGGCATGATGTCATACAGTGTGGGGTTAGTTTGTATGATGCTGCCTCCTGCTGGACAATACCAACAGACATATTACGTAGTTTAGCGTATGGGGTCACATCTCAGTGAAGTAAAGTCTTTTGAAAAAACAACGATGATTTAAATATGGGGGACAGTGCTGCCTTTTCCAGTGGTGAATTCGGGATTAGTTAATGGAAATCTGCTAATGCTCTGCTGAGGGGGAAATACTTGTTTTGTGTTCTTCATTCCCTTTAGTATCCATGCTGTAAGTTTATTTTCTGATTTCTTTTTCCAGGTGACGGGTGTGGTGGCGGACAGCGGGGGCCAGGCTCACTACATCCTCTCTGGTACTTGGGATGAAAAAATGGAGAGTGCCAAGATCGTTCAGAGCAGCCGAGGGGGCAGTGGATCGGAGGGCAAGCAGAAGACCGTCTATCAGACTCTGTCCCCCAAACTGCTGTGGAAGAAGTACCCTCTCCCGTAAGCTCCTCTCATCAGCCTCATAAGGCCCAGCATTAGAATATATGAGTCATAGCCGTTGTGTAATAACTGCAGCGTTCGATCAATATCATCGATTGTAGAACATCACAGTGTAACTACTGTCAATTTCCTCTTACTTCCTCAGCGAGAATGCTGAGAACATGTACTACTTCTCAGCTCTGGCGCTGACCCTGAATGAGCCGGAAGAAGGAATCGGACAGACCGACAGCCGTCTGAGGCCAGACCAGAGGCTGATGGAGGACGGGCGATGGGATGAAGCAAACTCAGAAAAACAGAGGCTAGAAGAGAAACAAAGAGCTGTGAGGAGGAGGAGGGAAGCCGAGGCCTCCGACGCTCTAGATGAAGGTATGAAACAGCGTGATGTCTGATAGGCAGAGAGAAGCTGAGTGGAAGACAGACAGATAAGGAGCAATGATAAAGAAGGAAGAAAGAAGGGAGATAGAGGGCAGAAAGTTGCAAAGTGGGAGAACTTACTTTATGCATGCGGGGTTCCTGTAAAAGTGCCAGTCGTTTTCAGATTAGACAGCGGTAAGTGTCAGCTGCAGCAGACTTATTTGAAAATGTTAAATAATCAGCACAAAAGAGAAGCTGCTGAATTAGAAAATGTCTGATTCTTTGATTGAAAATAATAGATACAAGGCTTCTATACACCAGGAGAGATATTAACTATGACCAGAGGAGCATTTAGGTAAAAAGAAAAACGTTGAGTCACTTTTAGATTCTTTGGTAATTTGTGGGTTTTTTTGTTTGCTACAACAGTGACTCACACAACACTAGCAGATGTTCTGTAGCATTTGAAGCTAAAGCTCATAAATAACATAAAGCTACTGTGTATGCCTTCCTAAACTGATTAAAAACTTGATCTCTGAAAAAAGCTATCAATCTATATTATCCCTAAACTATCTAGCAGACTCCTGTGTTTCCACACTGAAGAACATTCACACGCACTGCTCTTGCTCACCTCAAATTATTGATCATATGAGCATTATTATATTATCAATATAATTATGAAAAGACAGTTCCTCAATAGAAAAGTGTCAAAATATGCAGAACATTATCTATTTATCACTGTCGGAACAGTTGTTTTTAAACTCTCATGTCGAACATGATCAATAAATTGCGCCGTTGAGTAAGAACGGTGTGCAGGATCTTTCTTTCTCAGGACAGACGTGATACCTTCCAGCCTACCGGCATCTGAGATAGTTGGATGTGTCTTCTTTAAAACCTGCATTGAAGAACTTAAAGGAAAATTTAAAAAAAAAACAAAAAAAACAAACGTTTGAAATGAGAATTCATAGTGAGGAAAAATCACTTTTAGAAACAACTGGTCCTCGCCTCTTTGCAACTCTACTGCAGTAAAGCTTGACATATTTGTGAGTATTTATATGATGCAGTATTTGACATTACAGGTGATCTACAGATGTGTGTGTTACTAGGATTAACAATCAAGAAGGAAACACCAGAGCAGTACATAAAGGGAGTAATTGGTAGGAGCTTTTAACCCTCTGAACTCCGAGCAGCTTCCGGCCGTGTTTTTGCTTCTGTCACATTTCTACTCACTGTGAGGTCGTTTTTAACTGCTATGTAAAGTCAACCATGACTAGAAATAGAGTGAACTGAACATCTTCTTTAATGCAGTATATATCATAAAAGATAATTAATAGAAAGTTCTTTGATTATTTCTTTTCACAAAAATTTTAAAAACCTGGAACCAAGATGTGCAGTGTTTTTTCCAACTCTGGCACTGTCCATGCTTTAGACCACTTTCATACTGGTCCTCTATCTGCTCTGTGTAAACACAGCCTGCAGTTCATCCCAGTTCTGCAGAAAAGCCTCAGAATTTTTGTCACGCAACAAATCTGACAAACTGTTTAAAATTTATAGTAATTTTATGTAAAAATGAAATAATTTTGGTGAAATCTCACAATTCTAAGCTTAGATTAAGTAAAGTTTCCCTCAACAGAACATCAAGTCACAGATGATAAGTTCAAGAGCCGACAGTTTTTATATTTTCTGACTCTGATAAATGTAGTGATTCTTTAAAGATAACATGCATTTCAAGCACGCTGGTGGGTTTTGGGGTTCAGAGGGTTAAGTTATGAAAATAAAATCTGTCATTTATTGGGTTTAATGGTTATAAATGAAGAGTTTAAGAGTTATTAAAGGTCAGAGAGCAGGGCTAAAAGAGCTAAGAAGAGCCAGCAGTAATCAAAGCCAAGTCTGATCTTTACACAGACCTCAGCAGAAACTCTTCATCCTGGTGGCATTCCTGTGTGTGTGTTGTGTGTAGGCCAGACTGTATTCGATGTACCCATGACTTGTCTTTCTTTTCCTCCCTCTATTGATGGTCAGAGTGTGATTATGACTCTGGTGAGTGGGGGTTGCCCTGTACCCCTCTGTTGTGCATCACTCCTACACACAAACACACACACACACACACACACACACACACACACACACACACACACACACCATCCTCTGTGTGTCCTCTGTGTGGTCTGCCTCTGTGTGGGAACTGCATGATACCCCCCTTCTCATGTCGACTTCTCCAAATAATGAATCAGGAAAAAACAAAAGACTTTTTTTTCCTGCATACATGTGACATTTCCATTCAGAGCAGAGCCTCAGTACCATGTTACATGTAATAACAGATATTAAACTCTACAAGTATCCTCGGTGTGATCTGGTGAAGCCACATTAGCAAGTGATTGATTTTCACTTCATTCTGCTGTTGCCATTCTGTTTTTTTTTCTTCATTTGGCACTTTTCTGGTGCACTCAGCAACAAGTTCTTTTAAGGTTTGTTCATCTAATTTAAATTTACATTGTGTTTTTTGTAAAGCTAAAGGTACTGAGTTGGAATCATGATATTTTTAAAAATGTTCACACATCAGAAAACTGCAATTTCTGCCTTGTTTTGACTGGTTTGCTGTTTTTGGAAACGGATTCATCATTCAGTTCGGGGAGTTCCAAAACTGTGATTATAATTTTCTCCCTCACCACGACCGATCCAGGTTTTTTTTTCATCGCACACAACATTTGTTTCATATTGACGCCTTTGAGTTCAACTTTTCCGCCGTTACAGCTCGGTTCACATTTGGAGCTATCCCAAATGCAGTGCACAGCGATTGATTGCTTTTCATATCTGCATTTGTATGAAGGTGAATTGATTGCTCAGTGAATTGCCTGCAAGTGTGGCTTCCCCGCTAGACGGTGATTAAACGGCGACGACTGAATAACATCTGGGCTTCTTTCCACAGGTAGAGAATACGAAGGCTACCAGCCGTTGTGGTTTCACCAGAGGAGGGACTCAATCACTGGAGAAACAAACTTTGTGTACAAGGGAGGTTACTGGGAGTCGAAGGAGAGACAGGACTGGAGCATGTGTCCTGACATCTTCTAACCCAGGAGCTCATCTCGGATCACACCTAACCTCATCGGACAGGGAACCGCTCGGCCTCTGGTCCTCAGGCGGTGGAGCGTAGCTGGCGTATGAGCACCATGTGGACCTTTGCGAGCATGAGAATGTGTATGTTTCACACACTCTCGGAATACACTGTACCTCCAAATGTACACTCTCACTCTGTTTTTTTATTATGGGGAAAAAGACGGCGCGTTCCCTGAGCGGTCCTCTTTGACGCTATACTGAAACAGCAGTGAGATACTGTGTGGATGTGAGATAATGGAATTGTAACACCACACAATAAAGGCACCTGCACAGTCCTGATGCTCCGGTGCTCCGTAAATGCTACCCACAATGCACTTTTCTCTGTTCACCAACCCATTACAGAGTTTTACCCGATTGGATAGAAACCCATATCAGAGCAGCTCATGATTACAGACAGACAAATTCATGAAGAGGCAGAAGTAGAACAGTGTTGAATACACATGTCAGTGTTTTAGTGGTTACACAAAAAGTGTCCTCACCCTCTCTTTTATTCAGCACAACTGAGAGTAAGCTTATCCTGCTTTAAGAATCTTAACTTTCCTCTTTTGCTTCGTGGAAATGATTTCAAGTGCTCATCATTTGCCCCTTTTGATTGCTTAAAAAAAAAAAGACCTGAATGCAGTGTCTTCAAATTTCTGTCCCTTAGATTTTGTTGTCAGCTGTAGAGACGCAAAGTGTTCAAAATCCAGTAAATTAAAAAAAGAGCGATAAGATAAAAGAATAAACATATAAATAACTACAGGAAAAAAATCTGTAATATAACCCTGAAAATGTGAAGTTATCTGTTAGACACTTTTCAAATATAGCTCCCTGCTTTGAATCGCAGGTTTTGTTTCATTCCAGGAGTTATTACAACGACTTAGGTTTGTATTTGTAAAACTTTTTTATAAGAGGACAAACAGGGCAGAGTCCGTTATGTGACCATTTGGCGCTAAGTGGTATTACAGAAGAAACTGATCGTCGAGAAAAACAACAAATAGAAACTGTGCAAAAAGAGCATTCTGACTGAAACACTGCTGGTGTGAAGTAACACTGGTCTACTGTGGCAACTTTTCTGTGATGATTCAACTACGATTTTTGTTTCAAAATATGTTTTTGGAATAATTTTGAACACTTTGAGTCTCTGTAATCAACAGCTAGCGTTCAAATGGGAAAATAATCTCTTTCTTATACATTAGAGGCTGGTTTATCTGAACTTATGAAATATGCAGCAAAGCAGAAACACTGTATGTTTTTTTATTTTTGTTTGGATGTTGGGATTTCCTTCTAGTTACATGCAGTTAGTCTGTTCAATAGCCAGTCCATGTAGAGATAATGTGACTGCTTCTGCACTTCATATTCTGAATATGAATTGCCTCAATGCTTTAGTGCATTTCAGTCACCCGAACATGCTTCAGACATTTTACCATTTGTGATTCTGATTAGCAAAATTCTACCGTCGTAGTTAATCCTTTAGTCGTAACACATTTAGTGCCCTTGCAGTGGTACATTGAGCTTCGAAACATTCATGTCACTCCAGTAGGAATCTCCATCGAAGCCCTAAATAAGCACTTTTCACTGTGGTTGACTAGAGGTTAGTACATATCTCTGTGTTGATGTTGACAAGTTTCACTCTGTACACGTACTTCTTTACCTTGTCCTCTGGTGCTCTCCCATAGCAACACATACCGTATCCTTGGTGACCATTTTAGCATAATTCTCAATAATCATACAAACTACTGAGTCTGCATCGAAACGCTGAGACATCCAGCGATCGCCACCCAGGAACACGCTGGTTTCTGTAGTGTGCACTGCACGAGTTCCACAGCCTCCATCGGTCACTAGTTTGTAGCAGAGACGTTTCCAGTGGGTTTACTGTATCTGAGGCTGGAGCGGATCCTCTGAGGAGCCCAGAGTGGCTCCAGCTGACAGGAGGTCAGAGGTTTTCGAAGCAGACAGGGCTGGTTCCTGTGTCCCGCTCCACTGTGCAGTCAGCTGCAGCCACAGAGGAGCGTCTCAGCTGCCGCCGCTCCAGCCTCACCACAGCTCATTCGCCGTTTGTGGACGTGCTGATCTGGGATCAGCTCACACAACAGATACCCTGAGTCTTTTGCCTTTAACTGACTGAATAAGGGAACGAGTCCCCTGACCTGTGCACTACAAGTCTACGGTGACAAGAGTTTTGAAAAACAGTTAGTATTTTTTTGTAATTATTGTTAGGAATGTAGAATTCATGGCTGGAGGTATTGTATCTACCATCTAGTCTATTTGTGTGAATATTTTGTGATAAAACAATGATATTGTAAAATGAAGAATAATTATACTAATCTGAGTATTAGGTTATCTGTACAGCAGAGTTCCACACTGAAAAAAAAAAAGACTGAATGAGCCTGGAGGATTTGCTGTAATTTTAATTTTTAATCCAGATTGATTCTGCAAAGATGGAAGTTAACCCTGAGGCGCCCGTAATTTGGCCAAACACTGACCTAACACACTAAAAATCCATTTTTTATAGACTCCTTGATACTAACATGACAGTTCATGGTGTGCAGACCGTGAAGATGTGAAAAATGCACTAAAAAAAAAGAAACTCCTTCACATCAAAGTACCACTCCGTGCTGAATATCGGGCTGATGAAGGAGACGTTCAGTGTGCTAATAGGAACGCTTCAAATGTTTATCTGTGAGATTCTTTATCAGTGATATCAGTGATGATTTGATAATGAAATGAAAAATGATTGATTATTTTTTTGCACAAAGACATGCTTCTTTTACCCATTTTACGTAAAATACATTTGTGATTTGTGGTTGTCACGAGCACAGTTTGATCAGTCATTAAATATCTTGTCCAAGATCACTTGCTCTAAAAGAATAATTTGCTGCTTTTGGAAGTGATTTTATGTTTTGAAGATGACTACCTCTCTCATGTTTGTGCTGTAAATATGAAGCTACAGACAGCAGCTTTGGCACAATCCAGCGGTAAACCCACCAGCACCTCTGAGGCTGACTATCCAACTGATTATATCTTTTATGTTTAATAATTCACTGCTTGTGGACGAGAAATAGTCTCGGCACGTGACTCTAAATAACACACAACTTGTGTTTCCACTTTGGGTGTTGATTCAAGATACAAGATGGAAGTTAATGCGGATATATTAAGTTAATTAGTCAACTTTAGGGCTGCAAGGTGGCGCAGTGGTTAGCATCGTTGCCTCACAGCAAGAAGGTCGCCGGTTCACGTCCTGGTGAGGACACCCAGGATCTTTCTACGTGGAGTTTGCATGTTCTCCCCGTGCAGCGTGGGTTCTCTCCGGGTTCTCTGGCTTCCTCCCACATGGGCCAGAAACATGTTGAGGTTAATTGGTGATTCTAAATTGTCTGTAGGTGTGAATGTGAGTGTGCTTGGTTGTCTGTCTCCAAGTGTAGCCCTGTGATAGACTGGTGACCTGTCCAGGGTGTCCCCTGCCTTCACCCTCAGTCAGCTGGGATAGACTCCAGCCCCCCACGACCCTAATGAGGATTAAGCGGTGTATAGATAATGGATGGATAGTCAACTTTAAGGGTGCTGGTAGCTTTTATTCTTTTACCTTCGGACTGGGAGCCACAATACGGAATTCACGATAACAATATTATTGCGATATCTTTAAAAAAATTGGGAAAAAAACTGCCATCAGTCAAAGTTGCCCTCTAACTAGCTTTTTTGTGTATTTTCTCTCTTCTTTGGCAAATGAATGACATTCAAAATATGAGTGTATGTTGGGTTTATATTGAAGCATTAACCAGTTAGTTACTGGTGCTGGATTACCTACAATATATCATATGTGTATCATTATTATGATATCAATATTTCATTTTTAAGATACTGTCAGTGTTTGGAGACGCCTCTGCTTTAAAAAGAACCAGACTAAATGTCTCCCCTGTTTAAAGTGATTTCGTGCTGATCCAAGCAGCTGCTGGCTGTAGCCTTGAACACACACATATGAGAGTGGAATTTTGGTAAGAAAGTACATAAGGACATTTCTCAAAAAGTCAAACTATTACTTTAGTTTCTGCTTTTGGTTCTTCTCTTGTTTATCTGCTTTCCACGATACTTCCACGAGCATGTACATAAAAACAAGATTTTGATTGCAGTTGTGTGCACTTCTAATCATATCGAGGGTGTCACATGTTAAGGATGGACACTGCTGCAGCAACGAGTTTCATTTTTGCTCTGTTGAAAAGCATCGTGCACGGTTATGACATGTGAAAGAACACAGATCACTGCTGAATGGAGGCGGAGGAATTGTACAAACGGAAAGTTAATCTGTGATTTCCTTTTTCTCTGCGATCGATTTGAGGTTCACTAGAGACTTACTTTAATATATTGTGTTTGAGATGATTTTATATTTGAGATTACATATTATATTTTGAATGATAACGGAGAGCTCATCATAATCAATATATTTCCAAATAACGTGACCTCAGTGCTTGATGGTGACTTGCCTAATGACGTCGCCCTTTCACGGGCCTGTACAGTATCGGACAGCTGTAGCAATAACGCGGTGAGGTGCAGATTCGTTAGTTCGTTGTTGCTTCATACAGTACAGTTGTCTGCCTCATGCAGAAAGGGAAAGTAAAAAAAAAAAAAACAACCAAAGTGTAAGTGGAGAGTGTACTGTAGACTAAAAGAAACCTCTTCATCTGCCTTCCCTGTCTCGGAGGGTTCTAATGTAAACCCCCTCTCATCGTGTCTCTCATTTCATCTCACCCAACTCTTAATTCACTGTGGTGTGATTCTTAGCTTTAATTTTTATGCTTTTACTTTCTGTTCTGATTTTTTTTTTTCCTTCTCATGGGTGCCATTATTCTTATGTTGGTGTTTTCATACTGTTTGTATGCATAATGAGCTTGATTTGTGTGCACGTGTGGCACACGTTTCCTCCTCATTCGATTCTGCTCAGTTTTGAGGCAGAAGTAAACTAACGAACACGGGGAGGTTTTTCTTTGCCTTGTCTAAACTGAACCCTGCTTCTCCTTGGACTGTGACTCAGACCTTGACGGGGATATTAATAATCTGTACGATGATGAAAGTTATGAGACACAACAGCCGCCTGGTACAAGAAGCAAAGGTGATCGACCTGCCTTGACTACTATTCTTACTCCCCAGATACACACAGGTGTATTCAGGTGTAACTGCAGATTCAACTGAGGTTTTTCTTCTTCTTCTTTTTTTTAAATTGTGTATTTTCTCCCTTAATTTATACTCGTATAACATTGTCTTTAAACAACGAAGACACAATAATGAAAAAAGAGGATAATAAAGTTGTTATTGTTGACACTGGATATCTGCCTGGTTTCATATCTTTATGCTGCAGTTGGAGGATGATCGAGTTTAGTGTTATTGCTAATCCCAGTGGGGACGTGCATCTTTATAATGTGCAGAACGCTGTTTTGACAGCAGAAGGCCTGTGAAAATTTGTTGTAGAAGCTGTCCTAAGATGTTAAACCAACCTGAGTTTAATTCTGTTGCTTTATATTTTGTGGCACTCTGACATAAATATTATTTTATTTAAAGCAAATGAATTACATGGACTCACTGATGTTTTTTTTAACATTTGTTTAACCAGGAAGTCCCTTCAAATTAAAATCTTTTTCCCAAGGGAGACCTGGCCAAGAAAGGACACCATTAAGTAGTAACAAAAGGTTATAAAGTCGAGCACGACAACAATTAATAGACAGTGATTCATTTAACTTTTCTCCTTTTATTCCTTTTCAAATAGAGTTTGGTGTACAGTTAAATCCATCATTAAGAAATGGAAGGAATATGGCACATGTGTAAATCTGTCTGGAGCAGGTTGTCCTTAAAATCTGAGTGACTGTGCAGGATGGAGTCTAGTGAACGAGGCCACCAAGACGCCTATGACTCCTCTGAATGAGTCACTATTGCCTGTCCTTCACCAGTCAAAACTTCATGGGAGAATGGCAAAGAGAAAGTCATTGTTGAAAGAAAAAAAAATCTCATCAGCCCAAACAAACCGTCTTACAATTCAGACCCTCCTACATGCCAGCTGGTGAACTCAAGTCAAGATTTAATATAAGGTTTATTCAACAGCGGCTTTCTCTTTGTCCTGGGGAGACAAAATCGTGCAGCTGTTTTCAGTTCTGAAGGTTTTTCCGGGACCAGGTTGGAAAAAAAGAGAGAGCTGCTCTACTAAGTTCAAAGCACATCCTCGGTACTCTGTACAGGAGCCATTTAGATGAGCGAGAATTATAGCAGCATTTGGTAAGAGATGTAAAATGACACAAGTAAGACTGGAGTTTACCCAGGACTGTTCTGTTAATAGAAATACCAGTGCTGCTGTTTCCTCAGACTTAATGAAGGCCAGAAAGAACAGATTATAAAGTAGACATTGTTGTGAACTGGACACGAGTTAGAGAGCTGTAACATACAGAGTCGAGGCAGCATATAAATAATGTCTCCACTGTCTAGAACACTTAAGAAAATAGCCTGCAGGAGCGTTTAAAGACAAGCCCTGTATCACTGATTAAAACCCAGCCTGCCTACGATTTTGTCGTCTGCACTAAGATACACATCAGCTGAAGGCCTGATCATCCCAATATTATGTATAAAAACAGAAAGAAAAACCTGAGCTAAAACTAAGCCTTAAGGGACTCTGTTCTAGATTTCCATAAAGCCTGATTTGTGTCCATCTGAGTTTACACACTGGCTTCTATCTGTAAGCTAGTTCCTAAACCTCTCTACAACCTTGTCACCCACTGATGTTAATAAATCTGCTCAACAGCACCTCATGGTCAACACAATCAAACACCTCGGACTGATCAACAAACAGTACAACACACTGCTGCTTTCTGCCCAAAGCATTGATAGATGTCCTTTGTTACCAACATATCTGCTTTTATAGTGATATGATCTGACTGAGAGCCAAACTGAGTTTCATTTAAGATGTTATTGTCGACCAAGAACACTTTACTTGAGATTTTAAAATCTTGGCAAGGATGAAAAATTTGGATACAAGGCAATAGTTTAGGTTTTTTTGTTTTTTTTAAAAATCTGAATGATACCCACCTTGCTGTGAGAGTGGAACATATATTGCTTTCCAGATTTAAGGATGCAATTAGTCTCTAAGCTACAATTATAAATAATAAACTCAGCAAGCTTTAAGAGCTGGGAATCCAAGCTGTCAGGTCCAGATGACTTTTTTGGGTCATAGCCTTCAAAACTTTAGAGATCTCGACACTGGAACACCAGAAATAGGTCTAAAAACAAAGGGGTCCCTCTGTGGATCAGTACAGTACTGAACTGTCCTCGAATGACAATGAAAGTTCTGTATGTGTTAAAACAAGCCCAGCTGACATTAAATGCATGATTTATTAGCCCA